TTGTCTTTAGTGACGAGTCTCGATTTTGTTTAGGCATGCACGATGGTCGTGCCAGGGTTAGAAGGCGATGTGGTGAAAGGAGGAATCCACAGTTTTTTGTTGAAAGACATGTTCATCACACTGTTGGAGTTATGGTTTGGGATGCTATAGCTTATGGTTCCAGGTCACCTTTAATCTTCATCAGAGGTAACATGAACGCGCAACGTTATATCCACGAAGTTCTAGAACCCCATCTTTTACCCTATCTTGACACCCTGGCAGATCCAACTTTCCAACAAGATAATGCCCGACCACATATTGCAAGAGTCACAATAGACTTCTTTCAACATAATGATGTCACATTGTTACCATGGCCACCAAGATCTCCCGACTTATCCCCAATTGAGCACGTGTGGGATATGATGGGTAGGAGATTGCTCAATTTGCAACGTCCTCCTCAGACTCTAGAAGCACTTCGGGAGGAGTTGGTGGTTGCCTGGAATGAGATACCACAGGAGGACATTGACCACCTGATCAGAAGCATGCCTAGGCGCGTTGGAGAATGCGTAGTACATCAGGGTGCATCCACACATTATTAAAGGTCAAAGGGTTTTAAGGCAGTGCAATCATTTTGAAATTTTTATCATTTACTTATTATGCTTCATTAAGTACTTATACAAAATTTTATTAAAATGAAACCATTTAAACTGCGTGTTCGGATTTATATGTCACTTAGTATATTAAATTGTGCGAATATTTCATAAAAGCTGTTCAATATGACCAAAATCGGTCCTGCACATAACAATACGACGCAAAAAACTCCAGTTAAGTTTCGCTAACATATGATTATTCCTTAATCTATTTGTAGCATTTTGAATCCTGTCTCGTCAGTTAATTTACAAACCTCGTATATCGCGGTGTCACTAATTTTGTCTTTCCAATGCGTACTTTTCAGAAACATTCCTCATTTAATATACTGAACGACAAAAAAGGTAAACACCGACGTATGTTTATTAGAATGCAATAATTTCTTAGATATCGATTGCAACACCCTCCACAGACTTTAGCAGCTCTTACTCACGAAGTTGCGGTAGTGTGGAACGAGATACCCCATCAGGATATCGACCACCTTACCAGCACGATGCCCAGGCGTGTCAATGAGTGTACAAGAAATCGAGGATCCTCAACACATTCAGTTGACGAATCAAGCTGCAAATTTAATCATTTTACTAGCAAGGGACACTGAACATATACTCGTATGTCAAAAATTATTGAAATCGGATAAACATACAAAGGTGTTTAGCTTTTTTTGTCACCCGGTATAAATTCTATACGAATGGGTGTGGCCATTCTGGTCCTGTATCAAAAAGATAATTTCAATGACGCTAAAACAAGCCATCGGACAAAACGCAAAGGCATCCTGATTCCAGTTGGCCGTGGAAAAATCAAGTCTGCTTGCTCGTCAAAAAAAAAAAACGTACAAAGACAACTGGTGGTTATTTAGGTTCACTTCTTGAAATGTAAATTGGAGACAGTTGATTGTTTCTTTGACGGACGACTAGAAGAGCAGTTACAGGAGAGACAGTGACGTATTGTGCTGAAATATGTGATTGATTTAGAAACTGGGTATCCCTAAATGGAATAAAATAAAATATACAGGGTGTCCCAGAAGTCGACGTCAAGCCGAAACCGGGTGATAGGCAAAGTCATATATTCAAATATTAACTTTTTTTGGATTTTATTTTTACAATGTAATGATGAATAATGCATCTTCAAACTGGTGTCTCAACCTTACTGCCAACTTTTCTCGTTCAGGAAAAATTGCCACTTATTTCCCAACCAAGTATTCCAAAGTAAAACTTTGCTCAACTTTAACTGGCTGTACTGGAAAAAAATGTACTACGAGAGTTTGGCAAATAACCTTAAAAGTTGGCGCATTTAATAACGATTCCAAAATGGTATAACACGTAGAAGATTACTCGTTAACTTATGCACAATTTTTATTTGAAGAAAAAACTGATGAAAACTTTTCAAAATTTCCTAATTAAACAGCGATTATGAAAACGCACAAGGACCCTTGAGGATAACTGTTTGCACAACAGTGGGCGTCAAAATGATGCTGATAATGATTTACCTTTACAGCAAATGCTCAAACTGTTTTCCTTCAGCCGCAATACACGCTCGACATCTTAAAAAAGATCGGGTTATTAACAAACTCAGCTGCTTCCAATAGTCTTTGCCGTAGCTCAGCTACATTTTGAATCGGCTTGAAATACACTTCTTCTTTTATAGTTCCCCAGTAAAAAAATCTAAAGGATTCAAATCAGGTGATCGGGCTGGCCACGGTATTGTACCAGACCGCCTTATCCATCTGCCTGGAAAGTTTTGATCGAGATACTCTCTCACTGAGAGTGCATAGTGCGCTGGGCAGCCATAATGCTGAAACCACATGTCCCTGTAAATACTCAGTGGCACGTCCACCAATAAATTTTGTACATGATTTTACAAAAAATCCAAATAAACTTCAGCAGTCAAAGTCTCTGGGAACTCAAACGGACCGATTATTTTACCATTTAAAATTCCTGTCCAATGGTTTATCTTGAAGCTATATTGAGATTTATCTTCTCTCATCAAATGTGGGTCTGCTACGTGCCACTCGTGTAAGTTATGCAGGTTCATGTACCCATCTTTCTTAAATGTGGTCTCATCCGACCATAAATTTTTTCAAAGAACTGTGGATCTTTCCTGTGTCTTTCTAACATTGTGCGACAAAAAGCAACTAGGGGCTCATAATCCCGGGGCAGGAGAGGTTGAACACGCTGTATGTGGTATGGATGAAGCACATCACTTACTTGCTATTGCACACTTTGATACCGATCAGTACTCCTTCGTTTATTGCGCATCTTTACATGTTCGTGGTTGTTGATTTCGTACCGTTACTAATTTTGGATTCGTGAACTGGACTGTTGATCGCTTGTGATTTGGATTTGGACTGTTTAATTGCTCTTCAAAACAACATTTGCTTTCCTTAGACTATCTTTGTCCGTGTACACCGTACAAGAATATGCTAACATGCACCCCATTTATGGGGAATGCAGATGCAACGCTAGTGCTGCAGCGAGACTTTACTGTGAGAGGTACCCGAATGCAGCTCGTCATCCAGATCATCGAGTGTTCACAAATGTGCACCGCTTACTGTTCTCAGAGGGCCAACTACCAAACCAATCACACGGTGAGGGAAGATATTTCCTTCCTTACGAAGACGTGATGCTAGGAGCTGTCGAAGAAGACCCGAGTACTTCACTGCGTGCAATAGAACTAAAAACAGGTGTGCCCAAAAGTACAGCCCATAGAATCTTGCAAAAAAAACGTGCTCCATCCATACCACGTACAGCGTGTTCAAGCTCTTCTGCCCAGGGATTATTAGCCCCGAGTTGCTTTTTGTCGCACAATGTTAGAAAGACACAGGAAAGATCCACGGTTCTTTGAAAAAATTTTATGGTCAGATGAGACCACATTTAAGAAAGATGGGTACATGAACCTGCATAACTTACACGAGTGGCACGTAGCAAACCCACATTTGATGAGAGAAGATAAATCTCAATATCGCTTCAAGATAAACCATTGGACAGGAATTTTAAATGGTAAAATAATCGGTCCGTTTGAGTTCCCAGAGACTTTGACTGCTGAGGTTTATTTAGGTTTTTTGCAAAATCATTTAGAAATTTATTGGAGAACGTGCCACTGAGTATTTACAGGGACATGTGGTTTCAGCATGATGGCTGCCCAGCGCACTATGCACTCTCAGTGAGAGAGTATCTCGATCAAAACTTTCCAGGCAGATGGATAGGGCGGTCTGGTACAATACCGTGACCAGATTTGAATCCGTTAGATTTTTTTTACTGGGGAACTGTAAAAGAAAAAGTTTATTTCAAGCCAATTCAAAATGTAGCTGAGCTACGGCAAAGACTATTGGAAGCAGCTGGGTTTGTTAATAACCGTGGATTCGCTCGTTTAATAACCCGATCTTTTTTAAGAAGATGTCGAGCGTGTATTGCGGCTGAAGGAAAACAGTTTGAGCATTTGCTGTAAAGGTAAATCATCATCAGCAGCATTTTGACGCCCACTGTTGTGCAAACAGTTATCCTTAAGGGTCATTGTGCGTTTTCATAATCATAATTAGGAAATTTTGAAAAATTTTCATCAGTTTTTCTTCAAATAAAAATTGTGCATAAGTTAACGAGTAATCTTCTAAGTGTCATACCATTTTGGAATCCTTATTAAATGCGCCAACTTTTAAGGTTACTTGCCAAACTCTCGTAGTACATTTTTTTTCAGTACAGCCAGTTAAAGTTGAGCAAAGTTTTACTTTGGAATACTTGGTTGGGAAATAAGTAGCAATTTTTCCTGAACGAGAAAAGTTGGCACCAGTTTGAAGATGCGTTATTCATCATTACATTGTAAAAATAAAATCCAAAAAAAGTTAATATTTGTAGTAACAGGAGTTGACAGACTGCCGTAGGGTGTGAAATTTCTATATCTTTTTCAAAGACCTATAATTTTCAAAACACATACATAAAATTTTTTAAATATTTTTCTGATAGCTGTTATGACTTTGCCTATCACCCGGTTTCGGCTTGACGTCGACTTCTGGGACACCCTGTATATCAATTGCGGACAGAGAACGGCCTTTTCATGGTTTTTGGTGGATCTTAATACGACTATAGAAATGACGTTCATACATCCATCTTCGTTTTATACGTACATACGAAGTCGGTCTCTATACAGGGTGTCGCAACGAAAATGGAAAGCAGCTTTATAAGCAATCTGGAAAAGGTATCAAAAATCTATTTCCGTAGCAGCCTTAATATGTCACTAGTGCATATTTTTAAATTAATTTAATGTACAGGGTGTGTCAAATTCCACCCTCACCGCAGAAATTTCGGAAACTGTTAGAGTGAGATTTCCCAAAACCGTTTTCATTTTTCCTGACTTTAATTGTGCAAAGCAAAAGACGTTCATTAGTTTATTTTGCTTTATTAAAAATTACACTTATAAGAAATGTTATTCTTGTTGACATTCACAAGTCGCACCTAGCTCAGCTTCAATCGCACCATCACCATTTGCACAGACGAGATCTTCAGCTTCAGTTTTGTGATCTTGTGGTTCTTTTCTATTTCCTTTCTTTTTGGTCTTGCTAGCTACCAATGCGTGTTTCTTTTCATGTTCCTCGCCTTTATTTTTATGACTTTTCGCTTCATGAGCTATTATTAACTGATGCTTTTTCTCGGGTAAAACCGGTTTATATCTATAGTAGCAATAGTCGCTCTGGTCAAATTCTAGGGGATCCCTCGGGCTTTTCCTGAAACATTTTTCCACTTGATCTTCAGTTTAATCGCAAAACATATAAATGCTAATGCTGCCCACATTTTGTCATTTCAAGTAATGTAATTTTTTTGTCCATAAAAAACACGGGATTCTAAAGTATCGCCAGTTCTTGAGATGGTGTAATTGACGACAAAAGTGGATAAATATATCACGTAACAAAATCATTATATGGAGAAAATTGACTTTGGACATTTTTTATTGAACTTTTAAATATTTAGTTTTATTAGTTTGTTCTCTTGTTTTCCTTAAGGTTAGATTAATGCAAAAAAGCAATTTAAAAAAAAATACATGACACCTTTATTCACTTGTGTCTTCAATTCTATAATTCCAGATTTATGAGCAAGTGAGCTTATATGGTTGATCAAATATACACTTTTTCTGCAATTTTTCTTATACCCAATCACATATTTTTCTAAATACTCAATCCTGGTAGGCTGCCTATACGTCATCATTCTTTGCACGGTTCGTCGTTTCACTTTTTTCTCTTGTTTGATCGTTTCCCACCTGCGGTTAAAAGATTGCTGTTAAAAAGTTTATCATTTCCAAAAACGCCATACCTAAAGTAAGTTTCTTTCTCATAGACAGCCTTTTCTTTGAACCATTGCGTACCATATCCGTTGGACATCACCATCCACATATCATGCCTTTTGTCCTGAAAAAAAATCCAGTCAAATAGAATAGGCAGGTCCCTCCACGCATGTACGAATGAGTAGAAAAAATGGCGACTATGTAGAAACGTAGCTTGAAGTTTGAAGTTTACAATGGTAAATTAGTTTATTCAAATAAAAAAATTGTTGTGCCTGAAAAGAATGTGGGAACCTTATTTTTGAGATTACCCTCGTATATACACTTTTTTAATCATGAGTACAACATGTTGAAAGCTTGATATCTTTAAAGTTATTTATGTATCTGGGGTTAGGTGGATCATAAACGAACTTTTTAAGTATTGACCCCTTCAGCTCTGCTCTTCGTCAGTTATCGTCAACAAGCTGCTTAGGCTTAGGCCAGTTCCCCCGTGACAATTTCATTCCAGTCTCTAGCCTGGCATTTTATGGTTAGACTCCAACTCAATTTTTACATTTAAGAGCTGGCGAATCTGGCGATTTTCTCATAAAAAGTTGGCAACCAGCGTCACTGAAAACCTGGTAACCCTGCTCTGTGTCCTGTATCCTCATTCTGCAGCATCATTTTAAAGAAATGCTTGCATCGAACTCACAATCTTACCTGTTCAAAAGCTGGCTTGAAGACGGGAGTGTTCTGTTCTTTCGCCTTTGAGGAAGTGATGTTGTCCGCACGTCGTAAAGGAACGGCTGGGGCCCATGGGTTACGGAAATTAGGTTTCACCATTTAATAAATAAATTAAATAATACGTAAGGTATAAAATGCGACAGCGGTCTCAAAAGTCAATATATTTGGCATTTAGTTCTATCCCATATTTACAGGTTGTCAAGTTGTCAAGTAAAATATTTTCGTAGATATCTAAATTCTTGAATCTATGCGTAAATAACAAGTGGCCTACGTGAAAATTCGACTTGTTACTTGGATAAACATAGACAGAAATTCTGTGTTCTTTGCTTGTTATTTAACAATAGATTCAAGAATTTGAATATCTATGAAAATATTTGAGGATTTTTCCAGCAACCCCTAAATATGGGATAGAAATAGACAGAAATCTGTCTGAATTGCTAAAACTATATTACATTGGCAGATGTCGCCAAAATAAAGTACAGGTATCTATATAGTATAGTATATGAGCAGCTTATGTTGTTCACCAAGAGATGTCGCAACTAGAACCTATGAAAATAGGTTGTGGTTTGCTAATTGACCAACAGATTTCACCATAAGTAATATTAATATGCCAGTGCCATCTATGCATAGCCAAGGGAACCATCAGATTCGCCCCAGAAAGAACTCCATAGAAATATAAAGTAAAATGGTAATTAAATAGAACAATAATAGGTGTCGCAATTATTCAACGTGGCGTCATCTATGGCTTGCAAGGTAAAACTCTCTGGCTACAGCATAGAAAGCTGTAGCCTGAACTAAAAGGAAAACATAGGCGTAGAATGCAGCCTTGAAATGGGTCCCCTTACAGGTATTTTTTAGCAACTGCAGTGGCGGGTTAAAGCAACTTTCATTTTCGTACCCGTAGTCACGAACAAATCGAACGTCCTGATTTTCAAAGAGAATACTTTAATCATTTTTTACTATACAGTCTATTTAATAAGGAAGTTTGGATAATAATAATAAAACAACATTGTCCATTGATTTTTTATTTTTTGTATATATCTCAGTTAGTTTTTGGGTTTCAACAAGGCATTGCATCTTCGGGTACAGTTCCAAATTGATATCTTTCAGTGCAATTTCTCTTTCTTCACAACAAAATGGTCTGTGTATCAATAGCCTCTCTAACGCAAGTGGTATTGACGCTTTACTCTTCTGTCTATTCTTTTAACATCTCCATCACCTGTGTCATTGCTATCCCTGATCCTGGTCAAATACAGTTTAGGATCTGGTTCATGAGTGAGAGATTCCGACGTAGGCTGCACATCTCATTTAAAACAACGTAATCATTATTATTTATTTATTATTTGCATAATCTCAGTTGATGGTTTTTCCGTCTCAGCAAGACGTTGCATCTCCGGGTACAGTTCCAAATTAATATCGTTCAGCAAAATTTCCTTCGCTTCACAACAACTGGTCTGTGTATCAATAGCTGCTCTAACGTAAGTGGTCTCGACGCCCTTACTTTTCCTATTCTTCCGCCTCTGCTTCTTCTCTTTCAACACCTCCAGCATCTTCTCCATCATCTGTTTCATGGCTATGCTGATCCGGTTCAGATACAGTTCAGGATGTTCTTTAGTGGTCTGGTTCATGAGTGAAAGATTTCGACGTAGGCTGCGCTTCGGGCTCATCTTACTGATGGTAGAAGCAGTATGGAAATAACTGTTAGTCAACGGTACTGCGGATATTTGGAAGCTAGGAGCTTGGGGTAGATTGGTGGTTACCTGGCCTTTGTACGCAAGCTCGAACAGGCCGGTGCTGGCGTTGTTGTTTCTACTGTGGTCGACTATCACTGAAATGGCAATATTACAAGAAATTAAATAGTTTTATAGCGTTGAAAAATAAAGCCTCGTAATGTCAGATTTGTAGACCTGAATACTCATACCTTTAATAACATCCTCGAGTACAACAGGGCACATTTTGGCAGTGACAGGAGTAGAAGCATATAATGCAGGGCTAGAGTTGATCTCTAGAAGCCACGGTTTGAAGTCTTCGGTGATCATGAAATCAGCCCCGTAGAGCTCAAAGCTGTTCTTGCGAGGCTCGATTTTCTCTTCATTCAACAAAATGGCCGCTATTATACTTTGCTTCATGCCAGGGTAGATGATCTTTTCGAAAGCATGAGGGAAGCCAATGTCTAGAACAAGCACAGTAATTACATGTCTTGAACTGTTTATTCTTAATTCATAATTTCTTAATTTTCAGAATTCTAGGATTTTCAAATTTTCTAGCACACACTGAACAGATAAATTTGGTTCTCAATGTATAAAATAATGTAGATTTGTAAGTTGTTGTTACGTAAGTTTTGTGGGTTTTTGAGTGAACACATCTTTTTCATACTTCTTTCTTTTTAACTGCGACATCCGTGACAATAATATAATCAAGTCTTTATACGTGTAGTTTACCTGACAAATAGTTTTTGAATTGATTGCAGTCCCACATGTTATACCACGGCAACGTGATATCTCTGCTAGTATTTTTGTTGTACCTGCATTGGACTGAGTTATTGGTCAGATGGATGGATTCGTGAAGTTTCCTTAAGTTAAAGGTTTGTGAGCTGAATCTGACGTAACATTGTCTACAAAGATTGAATTATACTAATCTTATAAGAAGCTAGAGTATAAATGCCTACTTGTAAAACCAAATCGTTAGAGGAACTGGACTGCTGATCAAAAACCATTGCCTGATATCAAATTTCGTGTTATGGATCAAAAGAGGACGTTCTGAAAAAAAAACAATAAAAATCCATAAAATTAGCACCAATCTTGAAAAATATCGGCCTCACCGATATATTTTTGGATAACGTATCTCCTGTTCGGGTTTTTCTTGATTACATCCAAAACGTATTTTAAGGTCCTGCACATATGGATTCCAACTCCTTGACTGCTATTGGTCGGCTTCAAGATCCAAATATTCATGATACCGTCCATGTCCAGATACGGCCAATATGTATTTAGTTGTTCAAGGATATAATTGGCCTTTCTCACCATGTTAGCCTCTTCAACATATGATACCGCTTTGAAATGATTTCCTACATGGACCAGCTTGTAGAAGTGCTCTAAGAATTCGCTCCATTCGTGACTAAGCGCCTCCTCGATATCGAAGTCGATATCTAGAAATGTTTTAGAAAGTCAACGCCCGATTTAACTATGGCGCCTTTGACACAAATTGGACCAATGAGTTGGCACCTCTGAAATATAAATAAATGAATAAATGAATGAATGAATAAATAAATAAATTAACAAATAAATAAGTAAATAAATAAATAAATAAATAAATAAACAAATAAATAAATAAATAAATAAATAAATAAATAAATAAATAAATAAATCAATAAATAAATAAATAAATAAATAAATAAATAAATAAATTAATAAATCAATAAATAAATAAATAAATAAATTAATAAATTAATAAATGAATTAATAAATAAATAAATAAATAAATAAATAAATAAATAAATAAATAAATTAATAAATAAATAAATAAATAAATAAATAAATAAATAAATAAATAAATTAAGTATTTCTATTTATTTTCCTTACGACTATACAATGAGTATCGGAATTGTTATCAAGAAAAAAAATTAGTTTCTTTACAAATAGTAGTCTTTGAAAAAAACAAACAATACATAAAATTCCGCAATGAGAATCCACAATCGCGCCCGACGAAATATAAGTTATTAGCATCAGTGGTAAATAAAGAAATCACAAACGTTATTCAAAAACACTGTTAAAGTATTCCGAAACACTGTAGAAGGGATTGTTCAACATTTGCTTTCGATTGATGTAAGTTGGTTATTCGCTTTATGGAATTTGGTAAGTGGTTATAAAGTCGTACTGCCTTAACGAATGAATTTGGTCGATTTATTTGTAAAATGTCTCTCAAATTAGAGAAAAATTATGCGATTTGTGTGAAAAACGGGCCTCTAATTCTCAAATCAAGAAATATTCACTTCATATATCACATGATTCAGGTACAAAAACCTATTTTTCATTCAAAAAAGATTTGTGGCCTACCCGGAACATGGGTCAAACCTGATACAATCGATTGACGTGACGCCGTTACTGCGCATTTCATTAAAAATAACAATGTTTCGCTTGATAGATTCTTTGAAGACATAAATGGAATTACAGAATGTGTATTCTTTAACAAACATCGAGTGAATAATCAATTTACTACTGCAGGAAGACCCTGTTTCTCAAGCCAACCCTGTTGGAGATGTCGCGCACTCTACTGGGCGATGAACGGTGGCAAGGCTTAAAGGCTAGTTGTCCTACTGCCCAGTAGAGGGCGCGAGAGTTTCCTGTAAACAGGGCTGGCTTGAGGAACAAGGTTTTTCGCACAGTGGTCAAGTAATTTGAATATTTACTCGATATTTGTTGAGGAATAAGCATTCTGTGATTTCATTTATGTCCTCAAAGGAGGTGTCAAACGGAATTTAAACAGCGAGACGCTGTTATTTTCAATAAAATGCAAGTTTAATTGATGTCATATCAAACTACAAAACTATTTTTTCAAAATACACCTGTAGGGGTGCTACAGGGGAGTAAATTAGGGTCGTTACAATGTGTACATTGTTATATCTAAAAGTGGCGAGTATACGCGGAAAAAACTATTTTAAATCTATGACTTGTACAAACAAAGTGAAGACCTTACAGGATACTCGTATATTCTCACTTAGCGCATACAGAGTGAGGACCGTACAGGGTTGAATACTGGTTTTTCTCAAAGTTCACTTTGTTTGATACGTAGCTGTGAAGCTGGCAATAAAGAGAGAGAGAGAGAGAGACATTTCGTGGAACACCCTGGCATGCAACAACAAAATGACGTCAAGTAGGTTGACTCGTTCGGGAATAACGATATTGGGCGGATTTGGATTAATTTCGTGAGCATCTGTGAAATCTAGTCAGATCAGGAGCGTGAAACACCCCACGGTTGAATTGAAATAATTAAAATGACGTCAAGTAGGTTGACTGATGCTAGGAATAACGTGATTGGGTGAATTAGGATACATTTCGTGAGCGTCTGCGAAATGTGATCCATGCAGGAGAGTGAAACTTCCCAGTATGGAATAATAAAATAACGTCGAGTAGGTTGACTCGTTCTGGAATCACGATGTTGAGCGGATTTAGACAGCGTCTGCGATATGTGGTTCATGCAGGAGTGTGAAACACCCTACAAACCAGCATTAAAAGGACATTAAGTAGGCTGACTTACAGGGAATAAGATAAATAGGCGGATTTTAAAAAAAATATTTATTGTTTAAATCAAATATCATAAAACATAAATCACTTCTATAGAGTTTCCTATAATCTCAGTACGTTTGTATTCCAAAAAAATTGTGTATGATACTATAATTCTTCCCCATTTTTTTTCCATATTGTTCAATCATCTTGCTTTCAGCAAATGAAAACATATTTTCAAAGTTACAAATTCTACAAAATAAAACTATGAGAATCCTTTTAAATAAAAACGAATATGTTATAAGATCTTCAGTAGTTGAATGTAAAAAAAAATCATGTTATTTAGTAATCATTTTCATTTTGAAATTAAAAAAATCACTTCGCAAAATTAAGTATTCATATAGTAACTACGAAACTAGAGGCGGTATAGATTTTCGTCTGCAAGATTGTAATATTAGCATAACTAGGAAATATGTATTCTTCAGCACATTTATCTATCTATATCCATCTCCAGGTAGAATAAATAAATGAATGCTGAAAACTACCTACCTTCATGTCTTGACTTTTTAATGAACTTATAACACTCCATTACAGCAAAATCGAATATCTTGACAGGTATCTTCCCAGCTGGGCTAACGATTTTCACTTGGCCACTGTCACTGTTGATCTTCACCCATTTCAACATTGACATCGCAGCTGTGACGTTGAAATCCCCGATGAAATCCTCCGTGTCTCCGTGTGTATTTTTTATCAACGCGTAAGAACGAGGATGATTCAGTTGAGCCACTCCTGGGATCTGGCACCAAAACGAGCGTTTTGCGGCTTCGCATAGACCTGTTGATTGATCCAGACTCAAATTTATTTTAAATGTTTTACTTCCCGTGCCACTGGGGAGAAAGCATTGCAATCGCAAATATCTATAACGAGATATCATGGTTTTTGAATGTTAGATGCAAAAGTGTACAAACCTTGTTTGCTAGTGTAAGCAAATTCAGCCCTTCTTATCCGATTGATCAAAGTTTGCTTCACTTTATCACTACATTCTCTGAATGGTTCATAATTGGTACTCCAATACAGGTCAACTTGATGGTTTATGAGCAACTTGGATTTTATCAGTCTTCTACAGATCTCAGATATGTCCTTATTGTGCAGTAACCTAACTAGTTCAGTAACTGAGTAGCTTTGGAATTTTTTCATCTCGTTGCTCAGCCGATCTCTTAAAAAATGTTCATTGAGGTTAAATAAATACCACAGCTACTTTCGTAATAGAGCTTCTCAGAATACCATATCGCTGACGTTATTGTCGGATGAACGGAATCATCTTTATTTATCTTGCCCAATTTTGGGGTAGTTCAATTTTGACTAAAAAAAAAACATTTTTCGTTTCATGTATATAAAATAAACAAGCGTCCTCCTGGCCAGGGTGAAGGCCACTTCAAGGCCAGTTTTAGATGAAATTTCGATCTGAACGAAGTAAGTAATCTTGTACCTAGTACTATCATGCTCAGATACTTTTGTTGATGTTGAATCATCTGATGTCAGTTTATCCGATCATATCATTTGACTGGCGTTTCATGGGTCATTTCAAGGTCAAATTGAGAAAATGCCAGGAAATTAAAACTGTTATACTTGTGCGTAGACTTTTGTGGTCGCTAAGTCCGAATCCAAGGCCAATTTGCAGATCACGTCATTTGAAGGGCGTTTCCAGGTCATTCAAGGTCAAACTGAGAAAATGTCTAGAAATTAAATCTGCCTGACCTGTGCGTAGATTTTTGTGGTCGCTGAGTCATAATCTAAGGTCAGTTTGTTCGATCAGGTCACTTGACGGGCTTTTCTAGGTCATTTCAAGGTCAAACCAAGTAAATTCCGGGAAATTGAATCTGCTAGACCGGTACCTAGATTTTTGTGATCGCTGAGTCCAAATCTGATGTCAGTCTGTCAGATCAGGCAATTTGAAGGGCGTTTCTAGATCAATTCAAAGTCAATCTGAAACAATGCTGAGAAATTAAATCTGCTAGATCTGTACACAGGTTTTTTTGGGAGTTTAGTCCGAATCTGATGTCAGCATGTCCGATTCGGTTGAAGTGGGTTTCTGGGTCATTTCAAGGTCAAACTGCGAAAATGTCGAGAAATTAAATCTGCCTGACCTGTACGTAGATTTTTGTGGTCGCTGAGTCACAATCTAAGGTCAGTTTGTTCGATCAGGTCACTTGACGGGCTTTTCTAGGTCATTTCAAGGTCAAACCAAGTAAATTCCGGGAAATTTAATCTGCTAGACCGGTACCTAGATTTTTGTGATCGCTGAGTCCAAATATCATGTCAGTCTGTCGGATCAGGTCATTTGAAGGGCGTTTCTAGATCAATTCAAAGTCAAACTGAAACAATGCTGAGAAATTAAATCTGCTAGATCTGTACATAGGTTTTTGTATGAGTTTAGTCCTAATCTGATGTCAGTATGTCCGATTCGGTTCAAGTGGGTTTCTGGGTCATTTCAAGGTCAAACTGAGAAAATGTCGAGAAATTAAATCTGCCTGACCTGTACGTAGATTTTTGTGGTCGCTGAGTCATAATCTACGGTCAGTTTGTTCGATCAGGTCACTTGACGGGCTTTTCTAGGTCATTTCAAGGTCAAACCAAGTAAATTCCGGGAAATTGAATCTGCTAGACAGGTACCTAGATTTTTGTGATCGCCGAGTCCAAATTTGATGTCAGTCTGTCAGATCAGGTCATTTGAAGGGCGTTTCTAGATCAATTCAAAGTCAAACTGAAACAATGCTGAGAAATTAAATCTGCTAGATCTTTACACAGGCTTTTTAGGGAGTTTAGTCCGAATCTGATGTCAGCATGTCCGATTCGGTTGAAGTGGATTTATGGGTCATTTCAAGGTCAAACTGCGAAAATGTCGAGAAATCATATCTGTCAGCCCTGTACGTAGATTTTCGTGGTCGCTGAGTCATAATCTAAGGTCAGTTTGTTCGATCAGGTCACTTGACGGGCTTTTCTAGGTCATTTCAAGGTCAAACCAAGTAAATTCCGGGAAATTGAATCTGCTAAACCGGTACCTAGATTTTTGTGATCGCCGAGTCCAAATCTGATGTCAGTCTGTCAGATCAGGTCATTTGAAGGGCGTTTCTAGATCAATTCAAAGTCAAACTGAAACAATGCTGAGAAATTAAATCAGCTAGATCTGTACACAGGTTTTTGTGGGAGTTCAGTCCGAATCTGATGTCAGCATGTCCGATTCGGTTGAAGTGGGTTTATGGGTCATTTCAAGGTCAAACTGAGAAAATGTCGAGAAATTAAATCTGCCTGACCTGTACGTAGATTTTTGTGGTCGCTGAGTGATAATCCAAGGTCAGTTTGTTCGATCAGGTCACTTGACGGGCTTTTCTAGGTCATTTCAAGGTCAAACCAAGTAAATTCCGGGAAATTGAATCTGCTAGACCGGTACCTAGATTTTTGTGATCGCTGAGTCCAAATCTCACGTCAGTCTGTCAGATCAGGTCATTTGAAGGGCGTTTCTAGATCAATTCAAAGTCAAACTGAAACAATGCAGAGAAATTAAATCTGCTAGATCTGTACACAAGTTTTTGTGGGAGTTCAGTCCGAATCTGATGTCAGCATGTCCGATTCGGTTGAAGTGGGTTTCTGGGTCATTTCAAGGTCAAACTGCGAAAATGACGAGAAATTAAATCTGCCTGACCTGTACGTAGATTTTTGTGGTCGCTGAGTCATAATCTAAGGTCAGTTTGTTCGATCAGGTCACTTGACGGGCTTTTCTAGGTTATTTCAAGGTCAAACCAAGTAAATTCCGGGAAATTGAATCTGCTAGACCGGTACCTAGATTTTTGTGGTCGCTGAGTCCAAATCTCATGTCAGTCTGTCAGATCAGGTCATTTGAAGGGCGTTTCTAGATCAATTCAAAGTCAAACTGAAACAATGCCGAGAAATTAAATCTGCTAGATCTGTACATAGGTGGTTTTTGTGGGAGTTTAGTCCGAATCTGATGTCAGCATATCCGATTCGGTTGAAGTGGGTTTCTGGGTCATTTCAAGGTCAAACTGAGAAAGTGTCGAGAACTTAAATCTGCTAGACCGCTTCCTAGATTTTTGAGGATGCGGGTCCGAGTCTAATGTCAGTTTGTTAGATAAGGTCAGTTGAAGGGTGTTCCTAGGTTATTTCAAGGTCAAACTGAAAAATGCCGAGTAATTGAATCTGTTAGACCTGTACACATGTCTTTGTTTGTCGATGTGTCTGAATCTAAGGTCAATTTGTCCATATGAGGTCATTTGACGGGCGTTTCTAGGTCATTTCAGAGTCAAACTGCGAAAATGCTAGAAGATTAACTCTGCTAGACCTGCACTTGGATTTTCGGGACACTGAGGTCGGAATCTTATGTCAATTTGTCAGTATCAGGTCATTTAATTTGCGTTTCTAGGTCATTTCAAGGTCAAACTGAGAAATAACCGGAAAATTAAATCTGCTAGACATGTACCTAGGTTTTTGTGATTGTTGAGCGTGCAACTGAGGTCAGTTTGTCCGTATCGGGATATTTTAAAGGCGTTTTGAGGTCATTTTAATGTTGTTTCTAAAATCCGGTAGAGCTGATTTTTTGAAATTTTTTTTTTTTTTTATATCGAAACAGCCGCGCAGGCAGAAGCCTAAATGCCGGAACACCGCGGCTGCTATGATGATCCCAAAGAAATTTGGTTAATGCGATTTTTGAACTGCCTAAGGTTAGTAGGACTGGGAAAAGCTTCCTCCCGTAGTTTGTTCCACAATCTAGACACCCTCGGGACAAAGGAGCGGTCGTATCGGCCAGTTCTGGATGTACGAAGTTTGACACGGTTAGGATGGGACGCCGAAGTCAGGCGGGTCTGTCTGGCAGGCACATCGCGCGGCGGCATCATGGAAGAGAGCTCTGAGGAGCAAAGCCCGTTGGTGTAGCGATAGAAAAGAGCTAGATCGCCGACGGCCCGCCGGTGCGAAAGAGTCCCGAGACTGTCTGTTTGAGAAGAGTAATCGATCAGTCGGACCGCCCTCCTCTGGACAGCATCGAGCATGGACAACGTAGTCGGGGCGGCAGCACCCCAAATGTGTGACCAATACTCGAGGCTAGGCCTTATCTGGGCCTTGTATAGAGTGAGAAGGTCATGCGGAGAAAAGTACTTCTTAGCCCTAAACAAATAGCCTAGCTTTTTCCCAGCAGCTGCAGCTATTGAAGAGATGTGTTCGTGCCAGATCAGGTCCTCGGTGATCTGGACTCCGACCAGCCGAAATGAATGGCTCTTTGGTAGAACTCGACCGTCCATCGAAACTGTATGAGCGCTAGGACGCTTTTTGTTCGTCAAAGTACAGTACTGTGTTTTGGAAGCATTGAACTGTACAAGATTGTTGCGTCCCCAAGCTGTGATAGCCTCCAGATCTCTTGTCAGAGAAGAAGTCGTCGCTAGTCTTCTTTTTTCCAGCTCAGCGGCAGAGATCGGCTTGTCACTCTGAATTCCTGCATGTAGAGTGCTGTCATCAGCGAAGCTGTGGATTGGGTTGATCGTGCAGGAAAGGAGGTCGTTGATATGTAAGAGAAACAGTGTTGGAGCCAAAACCGATCCCTGGGGAACACCCGCGCTGACGTTGTGGGATGAAGAGGAGAATCCGTCAATTACGACGGATATCTTGCGGCCAGAGATAAAGTCAGCCACCCATCTGCAAAGCTTTTCTGGGAGGCCGTAGGATGGAAGTTTGCTCAAGAGGGCAGAGTGCCACAGCTGATCGAACGCTTTCGTGATGTCAAGAGCAACGACATGAGCCTCACCATGAGACTGGATGAGTTTACTCTACAGTTGCGTGACGTAAGCTAGGAGGTCCCCTGTGGATCGTTGGTGCCGGAAACCGTACTGCCTGTCGCTAATCAAGCTGTGACGTTCGAGGTAGTCCAGAAGCTCGCGATTTATGCACCTCTCCATCACTTTACTTATAACAGAAAGCAGAGCTATAGGCCTGTAGTTGTAAGGGTCGGTTTTAGATCCTTTTTTTGGGATGGGCTGTACATGATCAAATTTCCAGTTTTCTGGGAAGGTGCCGGATTCATAAGATATCTGGAAAAGACGCGAAAGAACTGGAGCAAGCTCAGCTGCACATCTCTTCAGTACAATGGCAGGAATCAAGTCCGGACCAGAAGCTTTGTTGATGTCGAGCGACAAGAGCACTCGTCTTACGGTCTTATGCCTGAATGTTACCTCCCGCATAGTGTGGGGAACCCTTTGAATTGACGGCACTTGGGCGTTGGTGGGGACGTCCATGGTGGAGTTGGCAGCAAAGATCTTGGCTAGCACTTCCGCCTTGGCCTTTGAGTCGAATACAATAGTTCCATCCTGACACGTAAGTGGTGGAAGGCTACTGTGTGAGAAGTTCTTTTCAATCTGCTTGGCCATTATGTCATTTTAACCTCAAGATGCCCTTCAAGTGACCTGATGTGGTCAGAGCGAGCTCAGGTTCGAGCTGAACGACCTTGGAAACCCGCGTAAAGGTCTAGTAAATTTTATTTGTCAAAATTTTCTCAATTTGACCTGATATGGACAAATGAACCTGAGATTCTGACTCAGCGATCTCGATAACCTATAAATATAACAATTAAGTGCCAGAGCCAGATACCTACTTACCCTGTAAACTTTAAAAATGTTCTTAGAACTGACTTTGAACTGACGTTCATCCTATCCGGTCGAGGTATCTATATGTACCGTTTGTGGTTATATCGGTATATGAAGTAAAATGTTTCTTCTTTTGGCCTTATAAGATTTAAATTTCTGCGTTGAGAAGATTTAAATTTTAAGTATCTTAAATTCGTACCTGTAAGCAACATGTATCTTTTCAACCCATCCTCTCTTCAACAGTGATCTTCGGACACCAGGGTAAGAACCTTTTATCGTAAACGTTTTGTTATTCTTGATAGCCATTTTTACTTCATCTCTTATTGAACCTAGAGGATTGTAACTTTCCCTGTCCATAGATCTAGACGCAGAATGTGCTCTTACTGATGCTAAGAAATTGGAAGGATTTGGAAGCATGTTCTTTATTCTGAAATGTCAAATAAAGATTTCTAAGTTGCCACATTGTGCTCCACACACACACACAGCATTGTTGCTTGAGTCAGTACATTACATACAAACATCTGAAAACAAGAGCAATTTGTAAAACTTGTAAATAGTCCTCTAGTTGATTTGCTTTTGGCCCTACGCAAATGCATCATCTATATTATCATATGCACCTAAATCTAACAGAATTTTTGACTGCAGGAAACTTCTGAGTTCAAATTTAGCGTACCTTAGGCCCGTATCGTCAGTCGTCCCTACAATTGTAGGGCGCGTTTATGGCCTCCTTGAGTGTCATAATTTTATACTTCTCCGTGACAACGCTCTATTTTGAGGTTATGTCACAAACATCTGTTTGCTTGTGCTTGCTTTTTAGTTATATCATGTCTTATCAGCCTGAAATTTCCTACAATTTAAAAGGAAAACATATCTTCACAGTAGGAGAGCGCTGACGCTGACACGGGACGAGTGTAATCTAGAAATTTTTGAAGGCGAGAAAAGAGTATGACAATCTAGGAGGCCATAAACGCGCCCTACAATTGTAGGGACGACTGACGATACGGACCTTAATACAGGCTATATTTGAAACATCAGCTTACCCTTGTAAGAATGCGAAAGAACTCCCCCGGTCTCTGGCAGGACTGCTCCTGACCGATACTGGCAGATTTTGATCGCTGGAACCCACTGACGTGTTCACGATGGGACTGCGATCTTCCTTTCGTGCAACTGCAACGCTGCTCGATTTGTCTGTCTTTCTGGCAACCTGACGATTTCTGCTCCCTAGGGAAGGGCTTCTGATGCTCGTGGTTGAAATTTTACCGTTCCCTGATCTCTTGCTTTCATCTCTACCAGCAGCACTTCGGCTTCTGTGTTGAGCACCTGCTGGCACGTTGAGTTTTGTAGCTGAAAATGCAGAGGAAGAGTCACAGTTCAAGGAACATGTACAGTTGCGCGTTCACTGAGGCGAAGCGATACGAAGTGCACCGCGAAGACATGTTATAAGCATCAAATATGGCATATCGCTTCGCTATGCTTCTCTATGCCTCAATGGGCGCGCACCTTAAGACGTGAAGCTAAACGTACAGGGTGAGTTTCACTGTGGGCTAGTTCAATAGCTCCGTTATCATGCAAGTTATCTGAAAAAGTGAATTACAAAAAGATATAGTCTTACTTGGAAAATATTTATATCCCTACAAGCTACTGCGAAAATAAACTTCTCCTATCTGAAGCACAATTCATCCACAGTAAAACCACTAGTCACCTTACCAGAGAAAGTACTGAACAATACAGAGAAGAACTCTAATGTTATAAATACTACGTGTGACTCAACGAAAGCATTTAATTGTGTCAGTTCACATTAACTAATGAAAAATTAAAATACCATGATATAAGGAATACAAAGCTAAGGCTAATTAGTTCGTATCTGACAAATAGAAACCAGTAGGTAAGCACTGCCTCGGACCTTTGGCCTATTTGCAACGGAGTACCGCAGTGATCAGTACTTGGCCCTCTGCTATTTCTAATACGCATATATCAACGACCTGACCTCGAGAATTGGCAATGGATCCTGCTTTCCATTCTAGTCACCCTGTGACCGCTACATGGCTGACGATCTATAAACTTGCGATAAACTGTCATTTTAAAATAACTTAGGCTTGATATTGTTAATGCATGACATGTTATACATTTTTCGAGTCAGGATTGAAAACTCTGAATATCCAATGTGACGTCCAAAATATAAAATAAAGTTGATTAATGCCGTTGCTCCAATCTGACGACTCCTTATATTTAACCGTTACTGTGATCTCAAATGTGAATTTAAAATTTATTGTATACAGGGTGTCCGCAAAGTTGGGGTTTTCCTTTGCACGACGTGTAGATCTTGAAAACATAAGCAATTTTTCTTAGTACCATATACACCAATGTCTTAAGGGAACCGAAATAAAGGGCTCTGCAACATCAAAAATATCTGAATACCGTCCTGTAGCCGCGACATCCCCCAGTGGTACTAGGAGACTAGCTCAACCCGACGACAGAACTGGGTCGGGGTCAGTGTGTCAGGTCAGTACGCAACCTTCAACCGACGGTTACGGTCACGCGTGTGGAGATAATCGCGTAGACGTGAATCCCTCAACAAGCACTAGAGACGTGGCTAGAGAAGTGCAAGTACTATATCAAAAACTAAAGTGTGGCAAACTCTGCGTGAAGAGGGGCTGTATCCGTTTCACGTCCAGCGTGTACAAGCCCTTCAACCTGACGATTTTCCAGCAAGAGTGCGGTTTTGTGAGTGGTTGTTGCATCAACATGACAATAATCCGGACTTTTTGAAGTGCATATTGGTGCCAGACGAATCTACGTTCACGCGTAATGGGGTGAATAACTTTCGCAACACTCATGTTTGGTCAGTAGAAAATCCGCACGCTGTCCGTCGGGCACATTTTCAACAAACATTTTCGGTGAATGTTTGGGCTGGCATGGTGAACCTAGACCTAGACTTTTTACGCAACATTTTGCCTTCCTTGTTTGCCTGCGTCTGCTCGGTAGCGCATCAGCTGATTTCATTTTCTGTTGGAGCGGAATGATTTCGGGCAGAGACGTACTTAGCCCTTCTGGTCAACTGGAGAGTGAGTACTTTTTCCTTTTTACTTGATCGCCCTCGTTTCACTACACATTACCTTTCTTATTTCAAGGGTAGTTGTTTCTCAAAAGGAAAACCCCAACTTTGCGGACACCCTGTATACATACCATTGTTTAGGACCGGACTATGTGGACGAGGCACTGGAGTTTTCTGGGCTTTCAGTACAGGCGGTGAGCTATGTGGCCTTCCTTTTACATTTAGAGTTTTCGGTGTCGAAGTACCAGCTTGATCCTTGCATTTCTGTTGCCCTTGTGGGTTTTTATCTATTTTTTGATTGTTCTGATTATTGTCTGTCTTCCTAACAGGTTCTGATTGTTGGCTTAGCAAGAGTGTCGACTGTTTTTTATGAATTAAATTCTCCAATTCTGGTTCGATGTCAGCAAGATCATCCTTCTTCTTGAGCATACTCAGGTTCACGTTTAGGTTTTCCAGGATTTGCGACATGTCTTCTGCCATCTAAAGAATATCAATAACAGATAATAATAATAATAATAATAATATTTATTCACTCAATGTACAAAGATAACAAACAATATGAGTAAATAAATATAAAATCAAAACAGGTCGAATAGAAGGCATCGCCTGTACATGGACCAATAATTTAAGTTGAAACTGTAGAATGCAAATGACAAAAAAGGACAAAAATTCGCTACAGTAGATTATGTATTTAGTTGATGTTCGTATTTATGAGTTTATGAATTTCAGTCCTAGATATAGAATGTAGCCACTTTTTTAAATTTCTTTTGAAACAATTTCCGAAACGTAAATCTTTTAAGTCTTTAGGTATACTTTCATAAAATTTAGGTGCTAAATAGCGATAGGATCGCTGCATTATAGATTTATGCGGTTGAGGAACTAGTGTGCCACGAATTTTGTACCTGGTATAATGATTATGTTTGATTTTTTGGTCGGTGTTTACAAATTTATGGTAGTGAGTGATACTGTGTAAGAAATAAAGCTGTCTTATATCATACATTCGAACATCTGCGTATAATTTTTCAGTGGGATAAAGTTTCGGTTTTTTAAATATCATTTTTAGAATACTTTTTTGAAACACATCGAGATTATAGAGATGTGAGGAACATGCAGCTCCCCATGCTAATATACCATATGTGAGATGAGGCTCAATCAGTGCATAGTATAATGTTCGAAGATATTTTTCTGTCAATATATTCCCAAGGTATTTAATTTTGTAGGATTCAAATCTAACTTTCTTTAAAATATAATTGACATGGATGTCCCATCGTAAGTGAGGATCCAAGACCACTCCAAGGTATTTTATGTTGGGCACTCTATTAATTTGCATTTTTTGATCATTAATGTTGAAGGAGAAATTTGTGTAATTTGGCAGATGTCTAGCATAAGATCCAAATGGTAAAAAATGTGTTTTAGAGTAGTTAATGCTTAATTTTCTACTGTTAAACCACCGAATAATTTTGATAAAATCATTTTCAATTACATTTTTCAGATAAGACTAGTCAGTGTCTTCATATAATATTGCAGTATCATCTGCAAAACTAGTTATTTTGCCAAGACAATTAATTTGGAAAATATCATTTAAATATATATTGAATAACAGCGGACCTAAGACAGTTCCTTGTGGGACACCACACTTAATATACATTTCTTTACTAAATGATCCTGATATCTGCACAGATTGTGGGCGATTTGACAAATAATTTTCGATCAGTGAGTACGCGTTTCCTCTGAAACCAATTCTCGCCAATGCTTCTAATAATAATTTGTGATTAACTGTGTCGAAAGCTTTCTTTAAATCAACAAAAATGCAGGTTGAAGGGATTCTGTTATAAAGTGATAGATCTTTTATAAACGCTAAGAACAGAATGGGATCTAGTACAGATCCGTGGGGTTTGCCTAAAGGCCTCTAGATAATTTCACCGAAGCCAGAGAATACCTTCTCAATCGTTGTGGCCCAAATCTTTCAATTGACACTAGTTTATGAGATTTTTGCCTATATTTTTCTTAAGAACTGTATAGATCGTTTCAAAGTCAAAATCTTGCATTTTCAAATGCCATTAAGATTGTTTAGATATCTTTTTTCCAGTGAGATAATAATTGAATCCTCAACACTAAATCCATAAAATATCTAAAAGTACAGCGTTTTTACTTTCAACTACTCGCTCTTTTAAAATATCTTTTCTGATAAAATCTTAACCGATCTAGATCAGTAAAATGGAATTTGAATAAATCTCAGCGAAAGAAAAAACTGTATAAAAATTTGAAAGAGCACCAATAGGCGCTTCTTGTTGGGATCGGTGGTGGGGACCCGACAATGACGACGGCGTTGCCAAATTTCGCGCTGCAAAGTTACTGCGTTGAGAACCATATTTTAGAAACAACCCTCGTATAATAAAACAATTGAAACTGTACCTTCGTGAGAGTAAGAATAGATTCGTTGCCTTTCTCCGGAAAACGCTCTGCCACAATTTGTTGCCCACTTTTCTTAACGTTACCATTTTCCTTCGCAGTTGTTTTTGTCTCTGTTTCAATTCCTTTGTCAGTTCCTTCCTTTTCAGCATTGCCATTTTTTGCTACTGTCTCACTGCTACTTGCAGTTGCCACTTTTGCAGACTGTCTCTAAACACGAAAAATTGTAACAGTTTGTTTTGTATCGCAGGTCAAAATTTTTACTTACAGACATCAAGTCATTCCAATTCAGAGGTCGTTTCGTACGACGAATTTGAAGATGTACCTAAAAAACATTACCACGGAGAATTTTGACGGTGATTCATTTGGCCAAATGGACGACAAGCACAGCATGTCGCCGATGTCACACTTTCAATTTTCGACAGTTTTGCTTTGTTGTATACAGTGTGATTTCTCAACCAAACTCTATTACTCATAGTGCCATTATTTATTCAACGACCATTCGTACAGAATTGCAGAGTCGACCTACTCGACATCTTTTTTGTAATGCATAGATAATCACATCACATCAAGGCTGACGGGAGCATATTTCCCAGCCCTTGGCGAAATGAATGCACCTAAAGCTTCCGTTGTATGTAAACCAGCACTTCACTTATCAAAGTGATAAGAATCAATCCGGGCGATGAATCGGAGAAAGGGTTGAACCGGAGCAACATAAAGGTTGGTGTGCGGGCCCAGAAACCTCGAGGCTTGATTGATTTCTAATAATTATAGCGCCGAGGCTTAAATGGAAGGGCACGCTGCGTGCATTCCCTTGGTATCCAAAGGTACTTGGCACAGAAGCCTATATACCTATCTGGGTTAAGCGCGGGGTTGCCATTATATTCCAAAGCAGAGACAAACAGGACAGGAAGGCGCCCTAAACAGGACTCTTCCACTTAAGTGGAGCCCTAGCTCATTGGCTATGCAGTCTTTGGATTAATAATGTATTAGTAGTAGTGGTGGCTCTTACCACAAGCTCATCCTTCTGTCTGTCGAATAACAGCATCCCAAAATATCCAATTTGGGCACAGTGATAAGGTGCTCTGTATTTTCATGTGTTATAGCAATCGGTTGAAGTTGTTCTCAAACTTCGGCGCATACAAAGGAAATCAAGCTTTATAGGTTCTGCGCTTTTCGGTACGAATTCCTTGAATGGAGGACTTGCTATTCGTGCATTTTCCCAGTAAACAATGTTGGCGGTCTCGTTGACACTTAATTTCACTTCCTTGATAATATAGAACACTGCTAGTACTTGTCCATTAGAGGGAAGTTTTGAACCGGTAATTTGATGCTTTACATCTCCCATTTTTAGGACTGCGTAATTCCTTCGAGATGTTGACTGATCGAAAACAGTGCGTTCACTAATAGAACAAACGAGCACTGCAATACGTTAGCTAGTGCGTACCTAATATGCAAGTTTTGACATGTTCCAACGCGATTCGTCACGGATTGTCCTGGTTCTAAGTACATAAGACTTTATTCACAATAAAAACGAGCTTGCATTTTTTTTTGGGACAAGCTACTATCTATTGCCAAGTGCAAATAGTAGCTAGCAGCATTTTATTTATGTCCACGATTATGCGCTTTGAGAATGCCGGAAGGCTTCGTGCAGTGCTGCAATTTTCATTATTATCAAAAGGAGTGTGCGTCTGCGGGCTTAGTCGCTAAGGAATTAAAAACATATTCTATGTACCTGTTGTAAGTAATGCGTGATTTTTTTGCTAGTATCTTTTTGGCAACACTGTTTTTGACAGATGACGCGTGAATCGTGTCTTGTGTCATTGTCAAACTTGTTCAGTTTGGTCTATAATTTAACCATGAATCGACTTACGAACGAACAACGCTTGCAAATTATTGAATTTTACTATCAAAATTCATGCTCGGTTAAGTGCATCCAGCACTGCTTCCAATTTATGGGCAATTTGGTCGGCCTACTGAGGGAGCTATTCGGAAGCTTATGACTAAATTTCGAACCCAGTTTACATTACACCAACACGCAGACGTAGAGTGAGGACTGAAGAAAATATTGCGGCTGTATCCGCCAGTGTTAGTGATGACCTTGAAATGTAGTTTCGCCGCTGTTCGCAGCAATTGGGCCTCTGTTACTCCACTACGTGGAAAATTTTGCGACAGGATTTGAGTGTAAAACCTTATAACATACAGCTGGTGCAAGAATTGAAGCCACACGCCCTCCCACAACGTTTCCCATTTAGTGAATGGGCGCTGGCAAAGTTGGAGGAAGATCCACATTTTTATCGAAAAATTGTGTTCAGCGACGAAGCACATTTCTGGTTGAATGGGTACGTTAACAAGCAAAATTGCCGCATCTGGAGTGAAGACCAGTCAGAAGCATTGCAAGAGCTACCAATGCATCCCGAAAAAATCACTGTTTGGTGTGGATTATGGGCCGGTGTCATCATCGGGCCGTACTTCTTCAAAGACGACAATAGCCGGAACGTAACTGTGAATGGCGAGCGCTACCGTGCGATGATAACAAACTTTTTTTTGCCCAAAATGGAAGAGCTGGACTTGGCTGACATGTGGTTCCAAGACGGTGCCACATGCCACAACGCACACGAAACAATGGCCCTATTGAGAGGCGAGTTCGGTGAACAGTTTATCTCACGTTTGGGGCCCGTCAATTGGCCGCCTAGATCGTGTGATTTAACGCCGTTGGACTATTTCTTGTGGGGCCATGTTAAGGCTAATGTCTACAGGGATAAACCAGCAACGACTGACGCACTGGAAGCCAATATTGAAGCATTTATTCGTGAGATATCGGCCGATATGTTGGAGAGAGTGTGCCAAAATTGGACCTTGCGCATGGGCCATCTAAAGCGGAGCCGCGGCCAACATTTACATGAAATAATCTTTAAACATTAAATTATATCGACCGTTCTATCGACTCAAATAAAGATTTAATCGTTTTTTCAAATCTTTTGTTTTTTTTGAAAATCAAATCCTATACCTCTTAAAAAATCACCCGTTAGAATACAATCTCAATCTTTGATTCAATGTTTTTACTGGCGCACTAAATCCGGCACCTATTTACCAAATCAGGATTGTGTGAGCTTACTAAACCATTTTTTTCACAACTAACCTGAGAAATCGCCATTATTTACCGCATTTGTCTGCTATTAAACTGTTGTTAATTGTATTTATTTATCCCACTATTTTGAAAGTCTCATGCTACTTGAGAAATTGAGAATTCTTCTATCTTTGTTGGACTCTATCATGTAGCTGCAGCACCTCTCTCCCACGCACCGTGCAGTGTTGTGCGGATTGCGTGTGTTTTATGCGGACAGTGTTGCCGCACATCCAAAAATTTTTCAAATATGCTATATTTCAAAGTTCAATTAAAATAAATGTTGTAATATATCAAAGACAGTTTTGGAAAACATTCTATACATACCTTGGTGAATAAAGCCATTATTGTCCATTGTCCGGTATACAGGATGATTCACAAGTCGTGACCAAAAATGAAACATCATACACAGGACCGCATTTCAAGGGCGGTCTTCTATGTAACATTTTTTTCTCGAGTGCTGCATTAAAAAGATACGGGGTTGAAGTTTAAAAATTTAAATTAATTTTTTTTTAATGTCTTCAAAACAGTCAACGTATTGTTGCATGCAACAGTCTTTACTCAAAATCAACGTGCACCAGAGGTGGAGATACAAGGGAGTAGTTGCATTATTTTTCCAAATAAAAATAGTACGCCACTGATTTTTTCGATCTTTTTAACGAAGCCCGCGAGGAAAAAATGCTACATAGAGGACCCCCCTTAAAATGCGGTCCTGTGTATGATGTTTTATTTTTGGTCACGACCTGTGGATCACCCTGTATCTGAATCTGCTTGACAATTACAGCATACTTCTCCACCAAGATATGTGATGAACTATTCCTAATAACTATAAACTATAAATAATAATAATAAAATTTATTCATATCAGTTGTACATTGTGCATAAATTGATATGCCATATAAGGGAAACATCATTGTGTGTGCATATCATTCTGACACATATAATACAGTAGTTACAATAAATTCGTTGATAATAACCAATAAAAAATCTATATAATATAGATGCATCAATTTTGTATCATAGATTAATAATACGGAAAGAGTATTTATATGTCCGAGTTTTCATTAATCATGCATAATATATTCAACAGCCACTCAAATCTATTTTTAATAACGGTTTTTTCTAATATATGTTGCATGTTGCAATAATTATTTGTTTATTCTCATTTCTAGTATATTCATAATTTTTATAAATAGTGGAATATTTGATTTTATGGAATTCCAATACGTTATACCAAAATAATTTTTTATATTCAAAAGTTTTGATTTTATAAACAGCGATTTGGAGATATATGATGAAGATTGTTTACGCATTGTCTTTATTAGTAATTTTTGTGTTATTTGAGAAGAATTTAGATGGTTGTTTCACACTACGAAGCGAATGTTGTACTCTATCAAAATATACTGCTGGTTTCTTTCAAATCAATAACCTTATCAAAATGAACAGAAAGCTCCGTTTTTCGCGAAAGCTCGGCAACGCGCCTCGAATAGCTGAAAGCTGTTGCATTCATCCATCAATTCTAGCTCTTGCTATAAAGCCGCAGTTAGTTGTGGTGGGTAGTATAACGGTAGAATCGTGTCGTGACTCGTTTATACCTACCACAATATGCCGACATGCCTCCTGGAAGATGACTTTTGCTGATTCCTATCGCTCACACCGATTCCGGTGAGTTCCGGTATACAAATTCCTTATGTTTGCGTAGTAGTAGACACCTGCGCTACTAATCATTAAAAATATTATGAATGCGAAAGTGTGTATGTAAGTTTGTATGTTTTGTTTTTACGCCAAAATGACTAAAGCGATTTTGAGATAGATATGGATTAGACATAGGTTACCAATTTTTGTGAAAATAAAACTTTGGGGGTTGAAATAAGTGGTGAAAGTGACTATTATTCTTCAAGTTAGAGATGCATATACGAGTTTTGTTAATTTGGTTCTTTGATATGATGTAAATGCTCAGGTACAAAGAAATTTTGGAAATTAGACCCCTGGGGGATGGAGTGACAGTTGATATTTTTTAAGCTGAAGATTCTTTAATTTAGGAAATGCTAGAGGTAGGAGTGTGTTCTGTCTGTGATTCATCCTTCAAATAAGAAAGAATTTAAGAAACTATATTCTTAAGATGGGGAATGAAGATGATGGAGATTTCTGCACGAACCTCGTCCTTTTTCAAGTTAAACTTATAAAGATGCATATCGAAATCTATTTGATTTGTGAACATGGAATTTAGCAGCGAAGTTTTTCGTGGACGGGATATGTTAGCTCGTAACAGATTTTGCGACAGGACTGAATCAAGGGGGGCTAGTGGCAGATATACAGGGTGGTTCAACCGTGCGTGGACATAGTACAAATAGTTAGAATTTCAGTTATGTTTATTTATTATCCCACAATCTCAAAAAATTAATTTTATATATGCAATTAAGTGGACTTACTTTTTTCTCGAAAACTCACAAGACAAAAAAGTTGTATTTTTATTGGCTTAATTCGGAAAATAATAAAAATTGCATAAAAGTCAGTGGAGTACAATTTTTTGTCACAAATATTATCCCCAAATAGATCCCGCTCGAGGCGCTACTAATTAGCTCCTTAATGTTATAAACAGCACCACCAAATTACACCAAAATTAAGTAAAGGATAATTAAGATATATAAGAATAATTTTCAGGTTTTTGAGATGGAGAAAACCACTTGTATTATGTCTTACCGAAACACATGCTACAGAAGACATCACTGATGGTGAATTACAAATTACTAATTATAAATCCTACAGATGCAACTCCAACTCCAGACATACTGGAAGTGTAGTGATTTATGTTTACCACAAAATACAGATCACATTATTCGATTGTACCACTTTAGACTATGCATACTGGTATGCACATATACAGTTCAAATTATTTGGTAAACGTTATGATCTTTGTACTTTTTACCGTTCACCAAACAGTGATGCGGATACATTTTTAACGTTTTTTGAAGAAAAATGCGAAGAAATGTGGAATTTTAGAAACAATATAATACTTTTAGGTGATTTTAATTTAAATTATTATGGTAAAAGCATGAAAACAAGAAAATTGAAAGAAACCATAAACAACTATGGGTTCAAGCAAAAAATTGAAGAGAGTACCAGAATAACATCATTATCAGAGACTTTGTTAGATCTTGTTATTGTCAATTTCGAACCAACTGGGACCACTTCTTTTTATATTATACATAAATGATTTACCTGCCATAGTCAAAAAATGCAAAATTCAGATTTTCGCCGATGACACTATGATTTATATAAGTACTAAAAATATTCAGTATGGTATCTCTTATATAAATGAAGAATTGAAGCTTGTCTCAAAATGGTTAGCATCTAACAGACTAAAATTAAATGCAAGTAAAACGAAAGCCTTGTTAATCGGAAAAAAACAATGTACAAATAATGTTCACCTGAATATTGATGGTGAAGATATTGAATTCGTAGAAAATTTTAAATACCTGGGGGTTTTTGTTGACTCTCGATTAATTTTTGATATTCATTATGAAAAAGTTATAAATAAGATTAGTAGTAAAGTGGGATATTTATTGAGAGTTTCTGGATGTCTGAGTTCATATAGCAGAAAAATTATCTATCATTCTTCCAAATTTCTTGTACTGTTCGACTATTCAATATTTAGCAAATAATTCCATTTTTGAAAGACTGCAAATTTTACAAAATAAGTGCATGAGAATAATACTAAATAAAGATAAATATACTCCAATTAGGCAAATGCTTAGAAAATTAAAATGGCTCAATGTAAAAAATTTTATCAAATATCTTGTAATGATATTCATTTATGAAGTAAAAAATAATATATTTCCATCAAGTCTAACTAATTTAACATCATCAAATGTCGACCATCATTTACATAATACCAGAAATAAAGATGACTTCCATTTAATGACCAAAAAGTATAACATATGCTACAAATCTGTATTCCATCAAGGGTTGATTGAATATAATAAATTATACTCGGAGATAAAAGACCAGAAAACTTTGACAAAATTTAAAGTAAAATTGAGAAATCACTTGTTAAATCTACAATTATAGATTGTCCAGCATTTACATCATACACCATATGGCTTGAATTTACTAGTTCTAAGTTGTTTACAATTATTTTGTGTATGTAGCCAAATGTGCTAAATAAATCTTTCTACTACTACTACTCTACTACTCTATTCTACATGGATTGAAATAGTTTTTACACTAAAATGAATAATGAAATACAACCTCAAATTTTCTTACTGCCCTCCATAGTTGAGGGATGGAAGAGATTTTTCACCAAAAAGTCTTTTTGCGTTGATTTCTAATAAGCTCTGCTAAATAGTGACATAACCATTGCTAACACTAACCATTTACCTCATCTCAGAAAAAAAATCACAGCCGTAAACCTAATGGTTTAGCTGTAATTGCGATTGAAAGTTCATTATCCCGTTTTTTCTAAATTTCACAAAATTGCGAATATCTCCTGAACTATATAATTTCGGACCAGACATGTAGGGGTTCATTCGATAGGTTTTGAGGCGCTCTATAACCTGACTTCCGTTAATCTACTACTAACTTTACACTCTGTATATAGACTTTTAAACTAAATTTCAGAACCCGCCCTTTGTCACCGTGAGCAGCGTTTTGTTGTTTATAGTCAACGCCAAACAAAGTGGCGTGCACGTCATCAAGGTGGGTGTGTTGAAAAATTTACATTGTTGCCAAACTTTTTGTAAAATAATAAAATTTATTATTTACATATCTAGGTTTATAAGCAATATTAACCTCAAATGAGAACAAAAGTAATAGTATAATAAAATTATAGATCTGTACTTGCATAATCATTAAGTATGACAATTATTGATCAGATGACACTATGAAACTACCATATTTAATTGATAGCTTAAAGGTACTGAATAAAAATCCAAATGGGGTCCTCCAAATTTTATGCATGGTATTTATTTTACAGAATTCATACAGAAAAATGCATTCTAAAATTAGGTAAGCTACTGGTGTAAGCTTTTTCTGTACAATAAAGTTAGTCGGAGTTTCTTTCTTCAGCGCTGTCTGAATCTGAATCTTCATCACTCTCAAAGTTGATTATTAAAGGTTCGATGTCTGGTCGATCAAAAATTCGTTCTCTTTCATACCATTTAAAAATTTCTTGCTCAGTATGTCGAACACTATTTTTCCACATGTCTGGGGTAACCGTTTGTAGAGCCTCGTTCCACATATCCAAACAGTCTTTTTCACTGTTACCATCTCTACCAATATGTCTGTTATAGTAACCTTTTGCTATGCCCCAAATTAACTCAATAGGGTTAAATATACAATGGTAAGGAGGCAGACGAAGAACTTTGTGCCCATGTTGTTCCGCCAATTTATCAATCACGTATATTTTAGGTGGTTTGTTTCTAAAAAAGCAGTTATTTTAAGAATAGGAATAAACAAAAGAAATATAAACTGTCGACCAAAATATATATAATTAAGAAGCATTATGTACCGAGCAACAATACTCAATAGCTCTGTTTTAAACATTGTGTTTAAAAATGGTATGTTTTGATTTGTCAACCAGTCTTGGATATTTTTTTTTGTCCATGCATTGTTTGGCACTTTGTTCAATATCATGCTGTGATAAGGGGCGTTATCCAGTATAATCATAGATGGACTCTCCAATTTTTCTAATAACTGATGTTGAAACCATTTCAGAAAATTGTCCTGGTTCATCTCTCCATGGTAATCGCTCAATTTTGTTTTCGAAGAAAATATCGCTTCACTACCCTCAATAAACCCATTTTCATTTCCAGCATGTAATATAATGTATCTAAAATATATTAGTTTTAAATTTTATAGTGCAAATTGTGTAAAAGTACATACCTTTTACCATCTGTTTTAATAGCTTTCACGCTTTTTTGGTTTCCATTTTGCCAAGAGCGACCTATGGTCCCATTTTGAAATATCAAAGTTTCATCGAGGAAGACAAACTGGTATAAGGCCTCAACCTTGGCTTGATTGTATTGCCTTAGAAATTCCACCCTTTTCAAAGCTATACCTGGTAGTTCCATGAGCCCTCGTCGCGGATTGTCCTTAAGCCACTTAAATCCAAGATCTCTAAGCAACCGCCTTAAAGACGTGGCACTACCATCAAATAATGCCCTATCTCTTAATCGAGACCATAAAGTTTGTATCGTAACTTGTTCTTCTGAAACCATGTGTAATATGACATTATAATTTAGTTAACAAATTAATGCAAATTTCTGATAAGTTATTATAATAAGATCTTACTTTTGTGATACATATTATAGATCACTTCTCGAATGGCACTTGTATCCAATGTCGCTGTGTTGGTTACACGTTTAATATAACTCCGCTTTTTCTTGGGCGATTCTAAATTTGCATCACTTTTCACACCCTCGGAAATACGACTAACTGTCCTTAAACTAATTTTTAAAGCAGCAGCAACACGCTACAAAAAATGAAATAAAATTTCACTATTATTAATATACATTACATCTAATTATTAGTAACCTACCTCTTGAACAGCATTTAAAGGCAACAAAGGCCCGTTGTTGTCCCTTTCTTGCTCAAAGTAGTGCATTAACGAGGCCACGAGTTCCTTACACCGACTATTTAACTGTTTGGGCATCTTTATATACCAAAATTGCCTTTAACTACTCGTAAAATGAATAATTTTGTTTTGAAACAAACAGTTGTTGATTTACAGTATGCGGGGCCAAAGGATTTATAAAGATTTGAAATGCCACAAATTGATTCAGTGTCAAAATTAATACAAATGTCAGTTCCCAGTTTAAATAAGTTTCAAGGTGACAATGTGTCAACGCTGCGAAATCGGTTTAGTGCGTTTACATGTCGATAAGTGATTGGAGCGTTTGCAAAACATTTTATTTCGCATAATGCGTCTAAATTTATCAGAAAGCAACTTATGTGATATTTTAATAACAATGTTTATATGACTATTAACCATAATAAGAGAGTAATGACCATTTTACAATTTATATATCACATTAATATGAAACTGCAATAGAGCAATTGTTTGTGATAGAAACCTAGGCATTAGGTCGGGGAATTTTTATCGTGATGACGTGCACGCCACTTTGTTTGGCGTTGACTATACCTGAATACGCAACTTTGCCCCCACTCAAGCGTTTCGGAGATCCCGATGGTTAGGATCGAAATTGAAACACCCTGTATATGTTTCAGAACCACTGCCACAAATAATGCCCTACACCCTCGCCGATTGACACCCGCACGCCAATGGCCAGTTCTTGAGAAAAACTCCTGGGCAACAGCGTCACCGTTGCCCAGTTGCCCAGGAGACATCGTACCCTGTCGCACTTCAACGTCACTCAGAGACACTGCCAAAAAATGGGGACCCAAGATACCACACCTACTATCGACAGCACGGATTCTAATAAAGAAAAAGACGGTAAAACTGCGACCGAGGTGGCTTCCAGTGGACCTAACACCAAGGTACCCAGTTTCAAAAATATATTTAGGGTAAAAAATATGCTAAGCTGACATTGACGTCTTTGGGCAATGATTTTCTGAGAACGATAAACCTTCTTGCCATTTGAGAAAGCATTCGATGCAATGTAGGCAATGACATTTTCTTAACAAATAACCAATAGCTGTACAGAGTCATTAATTTGCAAGAGCTTTAGTCAATTTGAAAAAAAAATCGACAGGAGTAGTAATTGTAAGGTAAAATGGCTTTAGATCGTCCAGCATGTGATATTCAACATACTTTATATTTGGTGGCCGAAGAGGCTATAAGTTTCTATTTCATTTACCCAGAAAACAAGCTCATAAAAGATCACCAAAAGACAATAATAATATAAGGACATATACTAAGTGACATATAAATCCGAACACCCAGATTAAATGGTTTTATTTTAATAAAAGTTGGTGAATGTATTTATCTTATTGTAAATAACAAGTGAACAAATTTTCAGCCTTATCAGTTGGACATTCCGGTTTTTATACTGTTTTTTTTAATTCGCTAACGCTCTAAAAATGAATATTTCAGCCGCAGTAAAGAATCAACGTTGGCGGATTTTGGTTCTTGACATCCTTTACGATCGGTTACGATGCCTAGAGTACGGAGACCTGTACGATTTCGTCAACTTAGTGAGTTTGATAGAGGCCGTATAGTAGGACTTCGGGAAGCTGGACTTTCTTTTCGGGCAATTGCAGTTAGAGTGCACAGAAGTGTAGACACTGTGGTTAGGTGTTGTCAGGCATGGCTTCGAGAAGGCCGTACGCAAAGAGCAAGGGGCACTGGACGCCGCCGTAGAACAACAGACCGTGAAGATCGCCGCCTAAGATTATTGGCCTTAAGGGACCGTTTCTCCACTACCAGGTCCATTGCAAATGAATGGTTTGCAGAACACGGAAGACCTATTGGCATGCGAAGTGTTTACCGATGAATGAGAAGTTTTGGCTTGTTTTCATACCGGCCACACTGGGTCCTCCCTTTAACTCGAGAACACCGACGTAATCGCCTTGAGTGGTGCAGACAACGGTCACTCTGGGATCAGGAATGGAACAGTATTGTCTTTAGTGACGAGTCTCGATTTTGTTTAGGCATGCACGATGGTCGTGCCAGGGTTAGAAGGCGACGTGGTGAAAGGAGGAATCCACAGTTTTTTGTTGAAAGACATGTTCATCGCACTGTTGGAGTTATGGTTTGGGGTGCTATAGCTTATGCTTCCAGGTCACCTTTAATCTTCATCAGAGGTAACATGAATGCGCAGCGTTATATCCACGAAGTTCTAGAACCCCATCTTTTACCCTATCTTGACACCCTGGCAGATCCAACTTTCCAACAAGATAATGCCCGACCACATGTTGCAAGAGTCACAATAGACTTATTTCAACATAATGATGTCACATTGTTACCATGGCCACCAAGATCTCCCGACTTATCCCCAATTGAGCACGTGTGGGATATGATGGGTAGGAGATTGCTCAATTTGCAACGTCCTCCTCAGACTCTAGAAGCACTTCGAGAGGAGTTGGTGGTTGCCAGGAATGAGATACCGCAGGAGGACATCAGGGTGCATCCACACATTATTAAAGGTCAAAACGCTTTAAAGCAATGCAATCATTTTGAAATTTTTATCATTTACTTATTATGCTTCATTAAGTACTTATGCAAAATTTTATTAAAATAAAACCATTTAAACTGGGTGTTCGGATTTATATGTCACTTAGTATACACTTGTAACATTTCTGTTTTAAAAAGGTTAGTACTGTTACCCCAGACATACAACAAATTGTACAAGATTGCACAAAGAAAAGTAACAGCTTCGTAGAAAGTAAATATAGGATAACCATCACATCGGAAAGAATATTGCAGCTGAGAAGACTGGTAGAATGTGCTACCAAAGATCATAAAGTCTTCACCATAAGAGGTAAGCCAAACCTAAAATTTCAGAGCTTAATATTGTTTCCTCAATTTATCAGTGTTTACTTTATTTATATTCTTCTGCCTATACGTTCAGTTCCTTTGCTTCTTATACATTTTTTTTGACTTCATGACTTCTATTTTTCTCATTTTTATCTGTATTTACACCCAGTTTTTTCATCAGTTATATATCTTTATTAGACTTAATACCTTATGTTTTTCCTTAATTTTATCTATAAAGGGTGGCGCATCGAAAACGAAACAGACGCATTTACTAGCAGCTCAGTTTTTTTTTGAAATACGCTTAGACCCGTCGATTTTGTTTTCGAGGGAGACAAAAGTTTTTCAAAAAATCACGTTAGCACGTGCAGCTCCCTAAGCGGGGGTGACACCACCCCCAAAATCTTAAATGGAAAGGGGGGTCGAGTGATACCTTATTTTAAAGGTCTTTCAATTCCCTTTATAATGATGTAAAATACAGGAGCTTCAGTTCAGTAGTTTTGAAGATTTATTGATTTAAAGCTTAAAGTAAACTTTAATAGGTACATCAGATTAGTTTGCACTACTTTCAGAAGAAATTTGACTAAAAGAATTTACTTATATAATAAGTAAATGCTTTTCTTCACTAGGTCCATGGTTTGTTTATCATTTTGTTGTTGGTATTCACTTATTCCTATCCATAGATTCAGTTCTTTCACTTGTTATACATTTTTTTCAGACATCATACCTGCTACTTTTCTCATTTTTATCTGTAATTACCTTGATATTCACTTCATTTCATCTACACATTCAGTTCTTTCCTTTGCTCAATGTTTTTCTCAGGCTTCATGCATTCTATTCCATCAGTGTTATCTGTATCTACCTTGGTTATTTTCTTTCTTCTATCTGTCACATATCTTAGACGTCAACCCTTCAAGAATTTTATTTTTTCCACAGCAGGACGTGAAACACAATGCAAATATTGCGTAGTTTGTATCTAGATACATATTTTATCTTTTGACCCACATTTTTGAATAGCAGGAGTCTGGCCAGTAATAAGAAGAGAGCTCGTTAGGCGCGGTTGGTTAGAAAAAGTGGAACATAATAACAAGCAAAAGTTCACAACTTTGGAAGACGTTACCAGTAACCTACCTTCTAAGCAAGATTGGGAGTCGCACCAGAGTTACACCGAAAAGTGTGAGAAAATGGTAAGAATAGGGATTTTTGTTAAATGTTTTGACTAACTTTGTATCATAGTTTAGAATGAAATATCATCTTTTAGATTAAATATTGCATCTTACTGATGTTGCAGCTTTCAAAGAACAGAGCATTGGCACAAACATTCGTTATTCAACCATTTTACTGCTATAACAAAACCCACATCTCTTATTATTATTAAGCATTCTGGTTTGACTTGGATCGACAAAATTAGTCTTTAGTAGATACGATAAGTTATGCCATTCTCTTTTATACTGTTCTTGATCATGCTGTCGAGCAATCAGATGCTTCTCTATGTTCCAGGTGATATCGAGAATGCTTCAAAGTTACGACTGTGATTTTTACTGGAGCATGCGCAAAGAACCTGCCGATCTTCAACATCGTGCCAATGCTTTCAAACTGATCAATCGTTTCAGTAGAAGTTTGTTTGCTTCCAAAGAAGGGCTGGCCCTTCTTCTGCAACAGCACTACTGGTTCACAGAGAACGGAGTCGCCAACGTTAACTATCCGCGAGTGTATGTCTTAGGTATAATTCATAGAGAATATCAAGAAATATTCCTTCCAGAAACATCTTTGAGATGGGAAATTACAAAAACTATAACTACACCGTTTTTATACAAGGTGTTCGAAAAATATATACTAAGTGACATATAAACACCCAGTTTAAATGGTTTTATTTTAATAAAAGTTGGTGACTGTATTTATCTTACTGTAAATAACAAATGAAAAAATTTTCAGCCTTATCAGTTGGACATTCCGGTTTTTATACTGCTTTTTTTTAATTCACTAACGCTCTAAAAATGAATATTTCAGCCGCAGTAAAGAATCAACGTTGGCGGATTTTGGTTCTTGACATCCTTTACGATCGGTTACGATGCCTACAGTACGGATACCTGTACGATTTCGTCAACTTAGTGAGTTTGATAGGGGCCGTATAGTGGGACTTCGGGAAGCTGGACTTTCTTTTCGGGCAATTGCAGTTAGAGTGCAAAGAAGTGTAGACACTGTGGTTAGTTGTTGTCAGGCATGGCTTCGAGAAGGCCGTACGCAAAGAGCAAGGGGCACTGGACGCCGCCGTAGAACAACAGACCGTGAAGATCGCCGCCTAAGATTATTGGCCTTAAGCGACCGTTTCTCCACTACCAGGTCCATTGCAAATGAATGGTTTGCAGAACATGGAAGACCTATTGGCATGCGAAGTGTTTACCGACGAATGAGAAGTTTTGGCTTGTTTTCATACCGGCCCTTTAACTCGAGAACACCGACGTAATCGCCTTGAGTGGTGCAGACAACGGTCACTCTGGGATCAGTGACGAGTCTCGATTTTGTTTAGTCATGCACGATGGTCGTGCCAGGGTTAGAAGGCGACGTGGTGAAAGGAGGAATCCACAGTTTTTTGTTGAAAGACATGTTCATCACACTATTGGAGTTATGGTTTGGGGTGCTATAGCTTATGGTTCCAGGTCACCTTTAATCTTCATCAGAGGTAACATGAACGCGCAGCGTTATATCCACGAAGTTCTAGAACCCCATCTTTTACCCTATCTTGACACCCTGGCAGATCCAACTTTCCAACAAGATAATGCCCGACCACATGTTGCAAGAGTCACAATAGACTTCTTTCAACATAATGATGTCACATTGTTACCATGGCCACCAAGATCTCCCGACTTATCCCCAATTGAGCACGTGTGGGATATGATGGGTAGGAGATTGCTCAATTTGCAACGTCCTCCTCAGACTCTAGAAGCACTTCGAAAGGAGTTGGTGGTTGCCTGGAATGAGATACCACAGGAGGACATTGACCACCTGATCAGAAGCATGTCTAGGTGCGTTGGAGAATGCACATCAGGGTGCATCCACACATTATTAAAGGTCAAAGGGCTTTAAAACAGTGCAATCATTTTGAAATTTTTATCATTTACTTATTATGCTTCATTAAGTACTTATACAAAATTTTATTAAAATAAAACCATTTAAACTGGGTGTCCGGATTTATATGTCACTTAGTATACATATGTATACCCCGCGGGGATCATATTTGCCTTAATAATATCATCGTCGTTCAGATAGACGAGATAGGTGCCACGCGTTTTATTCTAGGTTTTCCTGATCACTATAATATGTTCATCGATGATTTCCGAATCACTGCCTGTATGGGCTTCCTGAAATGTATCGCTGAAAGATACGAAACTGGAGATAAGTACGATATCAAATCACCAGATGGAAAGGTACCATACGCTGCCATTCAGTTTGCCATAGATCGGTAGGTCTTTGTTTTTATAACGAAATCATTGTTAAATACCAGGAACATCATAAAGTCCCTGGCCAACGTCATATAAACCTTAGAACCTGAAAAACTTCAAAGTTTAGAAACGTTTTCGAGATACTTCATAATAACTTTAGTTCAGAACTAGATTTAAAATGTATCAATGATCTTTTATGTCAATTATTTAATTACATTAATAAATGGTTCTCATCTGTCAAATGTTTCAGGTGTAATGACTATGTGGCAGGTCAGAAGCATTTCGATCTCGACAAGGACTTTGTGAGAATCTGGGACCATGAATGGGAGCAATTTCTTACCAACTTTTACATCATTGTCCATGAAAAAGGTCTCTTTTGTGACTTTAGTGAATCACTGAAAACCGTATATGGTAAGATATCGATATATCAGTACACCTCTTGTGGTTTTCACCGAAAGCAAGTGGCAATCGCGACATGACGGCAACCAAACTCAAATACAGTGGACCCACGATAATCCGGCGCCCCCTGTAATCCGACATGTCTTTGAATATAGTCAACGCCAAACAAAGTGGCGTGCACGTCATCACGATAAAAATTCCCCGACCTAATGCCTAGGTTTCTATCACAAACAATTGCTCTATTGCAGTTTCATATTAATGTGATATATAAATTGTAAAATGGTCATTACTCTCTTATTATGGTTAATAGTCATATAAACATTGTTATTAAAATATCACATAAGTTGCTTTCTGATAAATTTAGACGCATTATGCGAAATAAAATGTTTTGCAAACGCTCCAATCACTTATCGACATGTAAACGCACTAAATCGATTTCGCAGCGTTGACACATTGTCACCTTGAAACTTATTTAAACTGGGAACTGACATTTGTATTAATTTTGACACTGAATCAATTTGTGGCATTTCAAATCTTTATAAATCCTTTGGCCCCGCATACTGTAAATCAACAACTGTTTGTTTCAAAACAAAATTATTCATTTTACGAGTAGATAAAGGCAATTTTGGTATATAAAGATGCCCAAACAGTTATATAGTCGGTGTAAGGAACTCGTGGCCTCGTTAATGCACTACTTTGAGCAAGAAAGGGACAACAACGGGCCTTTGTTGCATTTAAATGCTGTTCAAGAGGTAGGTTACTAATAATTATATGTAATGTATATTAATAATAGTGAAATTTTATTTCATTTTTTGTAGCGTGTTGCTGCTGCTTTAAAAATTAGTTTAAGGACAGTTAGTCGTATTTCCGAGGGTGTGAAAAGTGATGCAAATTTAGAATCGCCCTAGAAAAAGCGGAGTTATATTAAACGTGTAACCAACACAGCGACATTGGATACAAGTGCCATTCGAGAAGTGATCTATAATATGTATCACAAAAGTAAGATCTTATTATAATAACTTATCAGAAATTTGCATTAATTTGTTAACTAAATTATAATGTCATATTACACATGGTTTCAGAAGAACAAGTTACGATACAAACTTTATGGTCTCGATTAAGAGATAGGGCATTATTTGATGGTAGTGCCACGTCTTTAAGGCGGTTGCTTAGAGATCTTGGATTTAAGTGGCTTAAGGACAGTCCGCGACGAGGGCTCATGGAACTAC